CGAGGTCTCACCTCCTCCCTGTTAGAGTAGCTGAGGACCGGGGCTGGGAGGCTGGGGGAAAGGGGAGCCCTCACACACCGCGGCTGGGAGTGGAAACTAGAATGGCCAGTGCTGTCATCCCAGCGGCTCGGAGGCTGAGGCAGGAGGACTGTGAGTGCAAAGCCAGCCTCAGCAAAAGCAAGGCACTGAGCAACCCAGGAGACCCTGTCTCTAGGTTAAATCGGCTGGGGACGTGGCTCAGTGGTCAGTGCCCCTGAGTTCAGGCCCCAGTACCGCCACCCCCCAAAACAAAGTCAGTGAAGAGGGAAAGCCAGCTGACCAGCAGTCCTGGGAGAGTCAGAGGTGAGCGCCCGCCCAGGGCCAGGTGGGGAGCCCAGGCCTTGGCCCTGGGCCCCAAGCCCCGTAAATCTCAGTCTCCCTTTAATCAGGAGAGGGGCCCTAGCCTTTCGTGACACTGGTTAAGTCATCTTCCAAGAACAAAAAGCTGACTCCTTTTGAAGGCCTCCAGAGGGCCCGTCCCTCACCTAGCTGCCCATGCCACCCACACTGCTGGCTCCCGCGTGGCTTCTCGGGGAGGCTGCTGCCCTCCACCAGGCCACTCACGAGATGACCTGAGCCTGCGCATCTCAGGACCATCACGCCCAGATCTTAAAACCAGCCTGTGCACCACGGGAATCGGTGACCTGGAAGTCACAGAGCCCACGGGGCGCAGCGGCGGCGGGCAGAGTGGGGCCTACCGCATCTGGATGTCGATCCGTTGAGCTAATTGTCTCATCCGTTCTTGGCAACATTTTAGCAAATCTACTTCCTGAAATAAAAAAAAGGTCAGAAAGGGTGGACCCGGGTCAGAAACTCCCCGGGTCAGAGCGCCCCTCCGGCACCCCGCCCTCTCCGCCCCCAGGTGAGAGCCAGGGGACGCGCCCACAGCCAGGGGCCAGCCGCAGAACTCCACTGCCCTGCCCTACTTTCATTTCTCTCTATTTGCTTCTGGATTAAAGTAAGATCCGGCTCGTACTGTGTGACGGGAGCTCGCGTATATATGATCGTTCAATAACGCCCATGAAGAAGAATGAAGTCTGAGATGCACAGGCAGCAGGTGTTCGAGAGACACTAGCTTTGGCTTTTGCTCTTGGTGGAATTATTATTGTACCCAACTTGGACATGCCGAGACTGGGGGCCAAGGAGCTCCACGTTGTGGTTTGGATACGGAATATCACCCCAAAGCTCGGGTGCAGAGGGCTTGGTCCCCAGGGCAGCGGTGTTCAGAGGCGGGAGGTGGCGGGTCATGAGGGCTCCGACCTCTTCCATGACTGATCACCGTGGGGCTCATGATTTAACGAGACGGTGGGAACTTGGGGGACGGGGCCTCATGGGGGGAAGGAGGTCAGTGGGGGCGAGTCGCTGGAAGGTGGACCCCCACGTCTTGTCCCCAGTACCTTTCTGCCTCGCCCCCTTCCCCCTCCTCCTCCTGCTGGCCACCAAAGCTGGGGGCCGAGCCCTGCCGGGCCCCTCCGCCATGATGTCTGCTCTCCACAGGTCTAGCAGCTAGGGAGCAGGCAGGTGGACAGCAGCCTCTGAGACCACAGTCTTTCCTCCTAGACGTGGACCGACTGGCTGCCCTGCCCACTCCCTGGGGCTGGTGATAGCCCGGGAGACACCTCACCCGGATAAGGTTCTTCTCCACGTTGTCATGGACCAAATCAATCCCGATCCTTTTCTCCCGATGGTAGAGACACTCCAGGGCCACCTGTAGGGAGAGCAGGACAGAGTTCTTCCCGGGGCTGGACATTGACCCTGAGCTCGGGTGACACACAGGACTTTGCTGGAATCCCATCATTCCTCTGAGACCTGGTATTTCACAGGGCCTCAGAGAGGCCTCTGGAGGGCTCCGCCTCCCTCAGTGGGCGCCGTGGGATGCCGAGGCCGGTGAGGGGCACCGTGGGATGCCGAGGCTGGCGATGGGCGCTGTGGGATGCCGAGGCCGGCGCGTGAGGAGATGCAAGGCCCAGGTAGAGAAAGCAGGATAAGGCAGTGTCCCAGGAACCAGTGGTGACTGAGATATAATCTCCACAAGCTGTCCCCAGGCTTCCCAGCTACAATGACAGATATGGCAGATGTCACTATGATCTCAGATAAGATGGTATCAGCTGCTGTCTTCCACGTGTGCTCTCTCATAAGTTTAAATCCAGGCTTAGTCCCTTCCTGTCATGTGCACTTGGGCAAGTCACTCAGCCTCTCTGACCCTCGGTCTCCTCATCTGCCGATAAGCGTGAGATGGGTGCATCTTTCCCAGGATGGTTGTGCATTTCAACCCAGCTGAAAGGACACAGCTGAAGGAATGTGATCATCTCCACCTGGGATAAGGGCGGTGATGCAAATGATTGGGGTGATGTGGACAGGCAGGGCTCAGGGAGGACTTCTCCAGGGAGGAGACAGAGAGACGGCTCAGAAGAAGCAGAGTGCAGAGATGAGTGGAGACATGGGGCAAGAAACAGGAGCTGCAGGTGCAAGAGGCCAGAGAATGCACAGACAGGAAGCCCTGGGAACCGGAGTGGAGAAAGTGAGGCTGGAGCAGGAGCAGGGCAAGGTCACGGGGGAGGGGAAGAGGAATTCAGGAATTGGGTGTTAGATCCTGGGACTCCATCCAGGGAGCCAGTGGAGGAATGTTAAGACTCACTTTAATATCTGAAGTCACCCTCTGCAGCTGGGGGGGGGAAGGACAGGTTGGACGGGAGCAGGAGATGGAAGACCAGGAAGGAAGTAGTTACGTCCATGTCCAGTGAGAGGCTGCCCGGCTGAAGGCAGCCAGGGGATGGAGAGAAGTGGAGAGACCGAGATGCCTCCCATCCCTGGGCCTCCCTATGGCTGGTCAAAGGGGTCACATGGGACCAGGCAGAGCTGGGCTTTGCAGACATGCTGGGGAGTGGGAGCAGGAGAGGCAGGCAGTCGGCCATGGACGCTGCTGTGGGGCTCTGAGGAGCAGCCCTGCCCACCCCTCTCCTGAGGGGCCAGCCAGCGGATGAAGGCAACGTTGGACGCCCTCCCCTAATGGGGTCGGGAGTCCCAGAGACCTGCTGCTGTGTCTCTTCGGGCACCTCAAGGCAGGACCTCTCCTACCACGTTCCTGCACAGAACAGGGCAGAAAAGGCTGTAGGAGGCTTCCAGGCAGGAGGCCCTGGGTCTCTGGAATGTCCAGTGTAGCCAAGATGGTTTCCACATCATGAGGCAGAGCTACCGGTTCCCCACCCGATGTGCACTCCACCCCTTCCATGCCTTCCTCCAGGGGCAGAGAAAAGCAGTCATTTCCCCAGACTCTTCTGCAGCCAGGGAGCCCCTGCAAATGGCCTCCTGGGAACCTCCTCCTGGTGCCAAGGGACACAGCTGCTTGGTCGCCTTCTCCCTTCCCCGTTTCCGGCCTCCAGGAGAGGCCCAGAGGGCTCCCCTCAGGCCGGAGCCTGCAATAGGAAGTGGTAGAGCTCCATTTGCCATTGACGGCAGAGTGTAAGATAGGAGCCGGTCCCACCGGCCCAGGTGGAGGGCTGCAGGCTGATCTGTCTCCCTCTGCAGTCCCTGCCGGGCTGGGCCACGCCCGGAGCACCTGCTGCTGCAGCCCAGAGCAACCCGAACCCGCCCAGGATCGGACCGAGGCCAAGGAGGGGTCGGGCATGCCCACCACGGATCACCCATGTCTACCGAGTGCCTAGTGGGTGCCACTCTCCGCCCTCGGCTGGGCGTGCGCTCAGAATGTTGACCTGGACAACAGCCGGCAGGGGCCCGGTCACTGGGGCCTGCAGGACACACGGGGGCTGCACGGATGGTGGGTCTGGGGTAGGTGCGCACGGGGGACCCACCCTGCCTGGTGGAGCCTACGCGCCACGCAGGTAGAAAACCACCCACGAGAAGTGTAGGGCGCGGCACAGCCGTGGGCAGGGAGGAAGCGCCAGCGCGATTTCAGGCGCGTCCTTGGAAGCCCTTCGCCAGGTGGAGCCACCTACGCACCTGCGCAGGGGCGCGCCGGCGCGCACGGGTCTCCACGGAACCCTGCCACCCGGATGGAACGCCGTTCGGCCGGAGGAGTCTTCCCTTCAGCTTATCCTGAACCGACGATTTCACCTTGAAGGTGCGGTCATCAACATCGACGCAGCGCACACCCCCTGGCGGTGCCTGTCCCCTGGACCGCGGGTCCAGGGGGAGGAGGGTGCGGTGCCCGACGGGGCGGGCCTGGCGCTCGCACTCACCTGCAGCGGACAGTTGAGCTCCTCGGCGGCGCCGCACTCCAGCCGCCTCTTGAGGGTGTCCAGGCTGCGGTTCTCCGTCAGAAGCCTGTCCAGCTCGTAGCACAGCTCCGACTTCCAGAAGCCGATGTCCGTCAGTCTCTGGCCCAGGTTCCGGGACGTCCCCTCCTGCATCTGGCGCGTCAGCTGGTCCTTGTCCTGCATGAGCCTCATGGTGTCGCCGGTCAGCCGGCCAGCCCACAGCCGCGAGGCCTCGGCGCCCCGCAGCTGCAGCTGGGTGGCCTGGTCCCAGTCCTGGGCACTGTAGCGACAGAAGAGCGCGGAGCGGAGCGCGGGCAGGATGGTGGGCGGGCGCAGGGGGCTGCGGCGACACTCATCCGGGCAGGCCTGGCCGTCCGAGACCTTGTAGAAGAGGCTGGGTCTCCACGAGTTGAGGTAGCGGTACCCCGGCAGGTGGTAGGGCTGGTAGCACTCGTGGACCGCGGGGCTCTGCACCGCCTCGGGCGGCGCCATCAGGACGCAGGGCTTCTTGGGGCCACAGTAGCTGGCGGTCTGAGAGGTTCCGAGAAACTCCATCCTCCCCCATGGGCACCAGGCGGCCAAACTGCCCAAGGGGCTCCAGCGTCAGCAGAACCGCGAGAGGGCTTCTCTGGGGCTGGCAGGGCCTCTGTGACTCAGCAGTGGTGTCATAAAGCCCGGGGACAGGGGCTGCGAGCCAGGCCCGGCTCGCTTTCAGGTCAGCGGGTCCGAATTGTCCAAATCTAAATGTCACCAAAGCGATGGCGCGTCTCACCATCCACAGATTGGGGCATGCAAGAGGGGGCACGTCTCTCCTTCTGTCACCACCACATCTGTCTCTCCAGACCTAACTGCGCCCAGAGAGAGAATTCAATGTCCTTCACTCCAGTCGGGGGCCCACTCCAGGTCAGTTTGGTCAAAGTTCTTGTCTTTCCTTCTTTGTCCCCAAGATGACATCAAAATGGCCCACCCAGATGTAGGATGTCACTTAGCAACAGTACTCACAACAAAGATCGACCCTAACCTGTTCTGCTGAGTAGCTAGTTCGAACACGACAGCCCGCATGGTTTCGTTGGTGATATTCTGCAAAGACTGATCCCTATGGACAGGAGACCAGTCGGTCATTGCTGGGGGCAAGGTGGCAGGAGGGTGGGTCACCGAGGAATGAGAAAATTGGGGGCAGGACTGATAAAGTGTTCTATATCCAGATGACGGAGGAGATGATACAACCCTATAAGTCAGAACTCACAGAACCCACAGAGCTTCCCACTAGTAAGTTTTGTTGTTCATGAACTATATGATGGGCATCGGCTTGAGCACCACAAGGCAGAAACTATGCCCATCACGAAATCCCTGGCATCCAGCACACTATTGAATGAATGGATGGGAAACTAAAATGAGAAGCTTTAATGTTCCAGAAAAAGTACTCAATTCCTGGCTCTATAACAGCATTTTCCCCCAGCCAAGAATCTCCCTCCACTCTTGACTCTGGGTACCGCAACACAATGTGCAGGTGTGGGACAGGAGGACTGCTGACTTGTGGGGCTTTCCCACCTTTGGAAATGCAGCAGAGGGGACTCTGACCCTCAAATGCTCCTTCTTAGTAGATGAATTAGTCAGTTCTCCTTTGCTATAACAAAATACCTGAGATCATGAACTTCTAAGAGAGAAGGTTTGTTTGGGCTCAGGGTTTGGGGAGTTCCAGTCCATGACTGGATGCCCATTGTTTGGGGTCTCTATGAGCAGTGGGCCACTGAGGAGGCAGAGCACCGTGGCAGGAACACGTGGTGGCGCAATACCACTGACACCATGAGCCAGGAATAGAGAGGAAGAGTCCTCTTGGAGGGCACACCCCCAGGGACCTAGGTACCTCCCACCAGGCCCCAACTCCCAATGGTTTCTGCACCTCCCAACAGTGGCCTGCTAGGGACCAAGCTCTTGGCGAGTGGGCTTGGGGGACATTCAGCGTGGAGTGGGTATGACAGAAGGTGAGAGGGTGAGGAGAAAAAGCATCTATTAAGCACCTGCTGGGTACTGGTGCTTTAGATATGCCAATCTGTTTTCTTTCCTCGGTGAGCCTACAACACTGCTAACATGTAGGGTGGGTCAAGGAGAGCCAGCAGACTCCGGAGTCCCCAATGCCTGCAGCACTTATTTGCAGGATATTTTAAGGCAGGACATCCCACAGAAGGAGCCAAGAAGTGGGCCAAAAGGTCTGGGGTATTTTGTAAGCGTGAAACTGTTACGGTAAAAATTTCTGTGTGCAGGATCAAGTGTAAAGTTGGGCTGGGGTTGTGACTCAGTGGTAGAGCGCTTGCCTAGCATGTGTGAGGCACCGGATTCAATTTTCAGCACCTCATATAAATAAACAAAATAAAGATCCATCGACAACCACAACAACAAAATTTTAAGAGTCTAAAGTGAAATTTGGGTTTTCTTATCATCCTTGACTACTCGCAGTCTTCCCAGATGTGAGTACTGATTTTTTTAGAAATAGTCTATACACGTATAAGTGTGTGTACACATAGCACCACCACTACCACACATGCTTTTCCCATATAACAGTAGCTCCTGGGGATGGACTATGCAATTTCAGGATATAAATATCCACCTCTTCCTTTTTAGTGGCCGTGTAGTGCTCCATTGTACAGATGTACTGTTATTTATTTGACCATTCCCCACAGCTAGGCATCCCAGATGTTTCCTGACTTTTGTTCTCACCAACATTGCACTAATAAATTCCAAGTGCAATCTCTCTAAGCCAGATTCGTGGCGGTATAATTTGAACACTGTGAAATCCACCCTCCTCAGCACACACTGTGAAATCCACCCTCCTCCTGCCACAACCACAACCAAGATGAGAACATTCCTGTCGCCCAAGGAAGTCCCCTGTGCCCTTCGCCCGCCACCAGGGTACATGCCGCCAAGGCCCTTCCCTGCACTCCGTGGGCAGGCGTGACCTTGGCAGCCGGAAGACCAACCCTGGGAAGGCACCGTTGCTCGTCCTTGGAGGTCGATGTCACGCAGGGCTGCCCTCTGAGGACCTTCCTACCTGCCCCAGGGCTTTCCCAGGTCCCAGGGTCTCTGTGGGGAGCAGCTAAGCCCTGGCAGAGGGTCCTGCTCAGGTGGGGCTGATGGGCCTGTGGGACTTGGCCTGAGCCCATGGTCACATGGAGAGAAGGTCAGTGAACAGCAGGGCCAGGAGGGGCGTCCTGAGACCTCCCCACCAGGTGCCAGGTCAAGGCTGCCCGGGGAGGGGAGGAGAGTCGGCACAGCCTGAGCAGGGGACAGAGACCGTCCCTTTGTGCCTTCCAGGGGGGACAAGTTTCTGCAGGCCAGAAGCATCCAGGGTCTTGCTCACCTGGGCTCCGGGTCACTTACTCGAACAAGTTGGGGAGTTGTGTGGGAATAGACCCCTGTGAACCTGTCCCCCATGAATGGAAGCCCAGTCACCAGAGAACTGACCCCTCTGCCTGCTTGGCCACCGGAAGTCCTGGCTCCATCTTCCTGAGCGGGTGGGGTTCCTGGAAGGACAGACTGAAGCTCGGGGCTGAGGTCTGACTCTGCCTGTGTCATACGTGGGTTTGACAAGCTATCATCTGCGTACCTGTGTGCTGGGGTTGACCTGTGTGCACTTTCTTTCCTGCTCTAAAGAAAGACAAGAATCTATGTCCGGGGTCAAACGGGGAAGCGAGGAAAACCTGTGAGGTGGGTGTGCTATTTTTGTTTGGAAACTGAAAATCTTGGTTCTTATCATGGAATTTTGTACTGAGAACAATATCTTTAAAATTGAAATGCATTCTTCTTTTTACTTGTTAATTGTATTAAAACTAACTGAAAACACAATAATTACTGAAAATACTATTGTGTAAAGCAGGACGGGCTGAAATGCCGGGTGGCAGCAGAACCCAAATCTCGGTGGGAGATGGGAGAGGGGATGGCACTGGAGAGGGGCCTCTCTGTCTCCAGGAGCGGGGTTCCCAATCCTCCACTCCTGCTTGGCCCCCACCCCTGGCCAGGGAGACTCCGGGCCAGGGTTGCCTGGGCCGTATTTCACTTCAGCCCCTGCCTGGGACCTGCCCGGGTGTCTGGAGCTCCCTGGGCCACACAGGGATTGCTCCCTGTCTGTGAACTTGATGCACAACCATCTGTCCGCAGGAGTGTTTGGGGACACTTGAGGTGAGGGCCGGAGCAGCGGTAGCCAGGAGAACTTGCTGCAGACATGGAAGTGGGTGGCTTGTGGTACCAGTATGGTGGACACAAGCCACGTGTGGTACCAGTATGGTGGACACAAGCCACGTGTGGTACCAGTATGGTGGACACAAGCCACGTGTGGCTACTGAGCACTTGAAACATGACTGGACCTCAGAGAAGCAGAATTTATGGCCCTATGGGACCAGTGACTGTCATACAGGACGCTGCAGGGCCAGCAAAACAGGCGCTTTTGTGGAATCACCTTGAGTTCAATGGACAGGTGAGGCGGCCAGGCTCAAACCCGTGCAGGGAGAGTGAGTGTCCTCCTACGTGTCCCTGGGGCGAAGTGGTGGAGGATGGTGCAGGTCTGAGGAGCCCTGGGAGGACTGGGGTGGGTGGGGCACTGCTGGCCCAGGGCAGGAGGAGGACCTGCCGTGCTCTGGTACACTTCTGTTTGAATCCTGATGATGTCCTAGGAGTC